CGCCTTCACAATTCTACCTTTCAAGTTCAAGCCCCCCTAGCTCTGTGTCCAAGCCCGCCTGTGATTCCACGCTTTAGCGAGTTCGTGCCTGATCCAGTTATTAAACCTTCCATGTTAGAGCGTGTTTGAGCCCGTCCCTTGTGGTTCCGTGTCTGAGCGCATCCAAGCCCGTCCCCACGATTCTGCCTTCCTCCTTCATCTTTCGTAGTTCACTTCTATACTCAAGTCGCTCGATGAGTAATCTAGCAAAGTAGCATCTTGATCGAACTTGAGCTCAAACTTCTACACAAGCTTGAGCTCGAAACTCTATAAACTCGACTCTCGCAAGCTAGTTAACGAGTCAAATAAGCTTTTGTCGACATGCGAGTCGGTTCTACTTATTTGAACCCCTGATATTTCCCCACATCTGTCACTCCGTCAATTTCGTGCTCCCCCAATGCGTGTTGCGAACTTAGTTATACTCGACTCAGCTCCTAAGATGTTGTCATTTTTTAAATATGTATGGTTGCAACATTTATGATAAATTTATAAGTTTACAACAACAACAACCAATAACCAACAACATCAAGCCTTAATCACATTACATATGGTCAACTACATGAATCATTCTTTCTCCATTATGTTATATTAAAAGTCAGATTCTTATTTAAATCTAATAAAGAAGTGTCATTTCTAAAAAGTTTCAAGCGAGCCTTTTTAGGTCTACATCTACCTTTCTTAACATAAGCCATATTTAGTGCATCTACTCTCCTAATCGGGTCATCAGACGACCGCCATTTTTTGTGACCAAACCATCTAAGGAGACTCTCTATCCTTATCCTCCACTTGAGCTACTCCAACCTTTTTCACCTATATGCTCGTCTTGTAACCTGTCTCTAAGAGTAAAGCCATTCATCCACCTTAGCATTGTCATCTCTACAACACTTAACTTAATATTATGCTTTGGCCAACATTCTGCACCATAAAGCATTATAGGTCTCACCACCATTTGATAGAATTTCCCCTTGAGTTTGAGGGGGACTTTTTTATAACACAACTAACATGTTGTAATCCTGCACCTCAACCATTCAACTTGAATTTTACTAATAATATCCCCATCTATTTAACCATAACTATGAAAAATAGATTCAAGATACCTAAAATGTGCACTCTCATTAATACTTTGATCGTCTAAAGTCACAATCCCCCCATTAGATTTATTACTACTAAAATTACACTCCATATATTCGATTTTTTATCTACCTTCAAGTCCCTCTCTAGTCTTATCAATAAGAAGAACATTATCAACAAAAAAACATACATTAGGGTACAACCTCTTACAAAATATCTAGTGAGAACATTCATGACTAAAGCAAAATTATATGGGCTTAAGGATGATCTTTGATGTAATTCAATTGAAATAGGAAAATACTTGGTCAAACCACCTTGTGTTTGAACACAAGTAACAGCTCATGCATATATATCCTTACTGAGTTGAATATAAGCATTATTAACTCCATTCTTATGTAAAAGTCTCCATTGTGCTTATCTTGAAACTTTATCAAATGCTTTCTCTAAATCAATAAAAATCATATGCATATCCTCCTTATTCTCTTTATACTTCTCCATCAAACCTCTCAATAAATATATAGCTTCCATAGTATACCTATCTGGCATGAATCCAATTTGATTTTGAGAACATTAGTATCATGCCACAACCTATGCTCCATAACTCTCTCCCATACTTTTAAAGTATGACACATTAACTTAAATCACGTATAATTCGCACAATCATGTGCATCATCTTTATTATTAAAAACAAGAATCAACACACTCATTTGACACTTTTTTAGTTTTCAAAATAATATTAAAAAGTTTAATAAATCAAGAAATTCCTTCATCTCCTAAGCATTTTCACATGTCTATTGGGATATCATCAAGTCCAACAGCTTTTCCACACTTTTTTTAAGCATCTCTAACTTCAATTTTATGAATATGTTGGTCAAAATATTCATTTTCGTTTAGAGTGCTAAGGTCACTATAGTCAATCGCATTCTTAAAATCTTCATTGAAGAGTTTATAAAAATATATCATCCATATTTGTTGAATATCCTCTTCTAACGTTCTAATAAAAGTAATATTTGATAAATTGATAAGTTTAATGGACAAAAAACTTAGATTATGAAAAGTAATTGTTTATAATATTATATACATTATTTTGCTCAGTAGTTTCAACATCACTATTAGTTGTGATGAAAAAATGTATATTTAGGCTTTCTTTGGGACAATTTTTTTGCCACCTCTTAAATTAATTATTTAGTATAAATATTTTTTAAAATAAAAAATTGTGTACTAGAAAGCTGTTTTAGAAAGTAATAAGAATGTAGTCCAAAATGAAGCCTTTATTTTATTCACTTTTCAATAGAATTATAAATATGATAAATATAATTTTTAGAGTTCAAGCAATATATATATATATATAATGAGAAAAATCAAAATAGTAAAATTATCAAATAATTAAGAAATATCAAACTTTTTAGTGATATAGGATTGAAAAAAAGCTCTTAAACGAGCTAGAGATACACTTTGCAGTTCAAATTAAGGGTCCATTTAGGACAATTTTTTTACCGCTTTGTTTTTTATAAAATAATCATAATTTTGTTTTTCTACTATTTTCTCACAGTTTTTTTTATAAATTTTAATAACTATAGCAGTGACATTATTTTCTTCACAATCAACATTATAAAACATTACAACTGTCCTAAACAGGCCATAAGTCTTTTGCTTGGATATGTTATTGAGGTTATTGAGATAAGAATACTATATGGATCGAACAATGCACAAAAAAGTGAGCATATACACTGTAATATTATGCAATGCTTTAATTTTTCTTTATATTAAAGTAATCACAAATATACACTATATCGATTTTATCTATTTGCTCAATATAAATATGCAAAGTCAAAACTTAATAATAGATTTTATGATATAAATATCAAGTTGCTTCTATATGTGAGATGCTTGAGTCCATACGATTCATGTTCAACTTTTAATAAATAATGATTGATGTTTAGTGAAATATTATCCTTAATGCCTTTCACATTTATATTTTGTATATTAGACAACAAACATAAGAATTTTATCATGGATATGAGACTACTAATGCATTTGTAAGGTTAAAAGATATTATAGAGGTTACATTGAAATTAGTAGAGACTAAGGAAAATAATATTTATTATTTGGTGTTCTTTTTTATAAAGCTTGTTTTGATATTACCAATTGCTATAACAAGGATTGAATAAGTATTCAATGCTACGATGATTGTAAAATGTCGATTACTTGATCATATGAAAGACTGTTAGATGAATGATTTCCTTATTGCTTATATTGAAAAAACATTTTTAATAATTTTGGTAATAAAATGAGTGTATAGCCATTAAAAAATATGAAGCCACAAGAGAAAAATTATTTGTAATATGTATCAAGACCATGCGCTCACAATTATATGTTTTTTAAGCATATAAGTTATCTTTTTATATTATTGTTGCGTCCAGGAGTATTCGCGGCGGTAGAGAAATATAAAGTTTATCGTCTTAGCATTGTACGAAAATCTGGCACGCAATCAGATAAGAGAGAGGGTCTAGCATTTATGTGACACCAAGATTTTTACGTGGAAAACCCCTATAAAAGGGGGAAAAACCACGGGGCCTAGCCCAGTTTGAACGAATCCACTAGCATTTGCAGTCGATTACAGATGAGGCCCTTCCTTGGGAGAAGGCCTTAGCTTGATGTACATCTTATGGAGTACATTACATGATGTAAATACAAAGAGTCATTGTTGACATGTTCGTTTGGTCGGAAGGACCGTAGTCGGCGGGCGACATAGGTCAGGAGGACCGTAGTCAGCTTGCGACGGAGGACTGTAGTCGGCGGGTGACGTAAGTCAGGAGGACCGTAGTCGGCGGGCGACGGAGGTCGGAAAGACTGTAGTCGGTGGGCGACATATATAAGTCAGGAGGACCGTAGTCGGCTGGCGACAGAGGTCGGAAGGACTGTAGTCAGACGACGAAGATCAGTAGGACAGCGTCAGGTAGAAGTCCAGCAATGGAAAGAAATCCATCTTCGCGTAGACGTCTAGCGAAGTCCGATAACCGGTAGAAGTCCGGCGTCGGGTAGAAACTTAGCAAAGAGTGAAGGTTCGACGTCGGGTAGAAGTCCAACGTCTGTTGTTGACAAAGGAGAACTCCGACTTCTCTTGGGCGGAGTTTCAGCGTCAGAAGGGAACTCTGTTGCAAATTGGGAAGAATTGTTCGATTCGAGTATAAGCTTGTCAAAATCGAAGACCGTTTGGTAACTCAAATTACGGTTTGAACCTTCCAACAGCGCTTGATTCGGACTCATTTGGGCTCGGATTGGGTCGATCTTGGTGTCGTTGGGTTTGTATTTCCGAGACGCTCAGTTTGACTGTAAGCTCGCTGAAATAGAAGTTCTGGTGCTCCCAAAATTAATTTTTGAAGTTTCCAACTAGCTTTTGCCTCGAGATTCGTGCCCGATCAAGCTAATTTTCGCGTGATGTATCAATTATCAATCTAACAACAATTTTTTTTTATAATAAGATAATGTCAATCTTAGACCCGTAAGAAAAGTATTGAGGATATTTTTAAATTAATAATATGTATCCATTAAAAGAAAATAGAGTTTGTTGCTGTGGGGTTACATTCACATTTTAATTGGGAGTAAAATAATCAAAATATACTTTTTATTGAGAGCTTAGCAAGAAAAAAAAAAAAAAAATTTTGTAGCAAGGATTTTATTTCTCTAAAAAAACTAATAAAAACCAGAAAGAAGGACTTTATTTAAATTAATTTTGATTAATATTAAAATTATTCATAATTTAATAAAAAAATTTAAACTATTTTTAAGAGCATATATATATATATATATAATTTTTATTTTCAACTCATTTTGATCTTCTCTTTTCGTTAACCCCTTTAACCCTTTGAGCGTCGGATGCAGAAAAGGGGAGTGAAACTTTAGCTCACTGTCTTGGAGAATGCCTTACTTATTACAAGTTACGAGTATATTGCTGGCAGTAAGGAATCTGTTGATTTTAGGTTCGGTTGGTTAATATTCATTTATTTTTTCTGGAAATAACGGAGACATTGTTTTTCTTCTTCTTGGATTTGAGAATCGGGGTTTCTGAGATTTTTGATTTTATGGTTTAGTTCATCTTTATTGACGGGGACAGCATACGGAGTTCGATTACTTGAACCTAGACGCTGCAGCGATTTCGTTGGAAGAGATTACAGCTTTTTAATGTTCTGCTAATGAAGTGTCATTGCTCTGCAAGAGGATTTCTCACTCCCCTTGTTAGGTCGACAGCCATTATTCGTTGTTCATAAAGCCTATTCCTCGCATCACCTTACTATTTTGGTAAAATACAAATTGGACCAGATTTTTAAAAAAATTTTGAATTGTTTTTTTTTTAAATTTTTATTATTTAATCTATTTGATAGATTTGATGTGCTGCATTTTGAGGAAATTTTTATATGATTTGCGAGCGTATTAAGGGCATCTCCAACCGAAAACTTCATTTTTCACTGCAAAGTAACGCAAAACTCCAAAATGGCGCGGTGATGCTACAATCGAACGCCATTTTAGGTGTTTTTGAGAAGGTAACGATCGCCCTCCCTTTCGCGCGTTTTTCCGGTTGAGAGCAAAAAATGGCGTGAGGTGCGACGCCAATATTGGCGTCGCACTGTTCATCGGCGATCAAATGGGGTAAAAAATGGCAATCGGTTGGAGCAAAACAAGAACGGCAAACAAGTGTTTGCCGTTCGGTTGGAGATGCCCTAATGAATATGAGATGGCTTGTGGGACTGATTTGAATCCAACGCGTACCCACTTCTATAAACTCTCTTGTTGCTTGCCTTTTCTAATAGTCAAGGATTTTTTATCTTCTCCTGTTAAACCTGAATCATAAGAAATCCATTGGCTCCTCTAGGTAGTATCTGTTTACCATTAGATTGTAATGAGATGAATTTCACAGGTCAAGATTCCCGCTTTCTTCTTTTTGAGTTCCTTTTCTTCCGAATGAACTTTTATGGGCTTGCAGAAGTTTCAGTCATTTGTTCTGAGTTTTGTAATATGTTGCAGTTTCCAGCAACGATTATAAATATAATTGAACCTATTCAATTAAAGTGCTCTACCCGTCATCTCTCTTATTTTGAAGTCTTTTTTTAGAAACTTTAACCAAAGTGGTACCATTTATTATGTTCATTTATTTTTCCATAAAACTTGAGATTAGTCAACTATGATCCCCAATATTGACTTTGTCAAGTGCAAACAAAAAATAAATTCAAAATATTATGTAGAAATTAGTAGCACATATGTTTTACCTATTTGCTTGCTGCTTAATCATCTTGTATTATTATTTCTAGAACTTAAATAATAGTTTCAAATAAAAGAAGCAGGCTAACAAGTGACCTAGAGTGTGAACTTTGACATGTATCTCCAACTCATTGAAGATCAATTTTTTTATTTAACTCTCTAGTCTCTACTAGTTGATAATTTTTCATTTCTTAATTGCTCAAGATGTTTATTGAGTTGTTTCTCCCATAGAATATATCTTCTTTTGTATGAACTCATAACTATTTTTATCAAATTGGTGATTATGTTGCAAAGATATGCAATTTGTATATAATTTTTAGCAATGATATCCAATTCTAATTGAAGTTGATGTGCAAAATAATGTATATAATATGCCAAATAATTATCATTCGTAATCAAAGTTTTTAGACTATTAAACTCACAATACATATTGCTTGCCTCATCATATTATTGACCATGTGGTTTTTTTGAAAGTTATCGACAACGTAGTTGTGCAATGCTTAATCTAGGCTTTGTAGAAAGAGCTTTAATTGCTTGTTTAAGGGTTGAAACATATGTTTCCGCATTATGCACAATCCCAATAAAACGCTCAATGACACGTCCTCTTTTTATCAAAAAAATAATGTGCAATAGCCACTTATTCTTTCATTGATGTATCTCGAGACTCATTTAGTAGAATTCTGAATAAATTATTACCTTGTTCATTAATGATAACATGTGAAATCTCAACATCAACGACATGTGTAATTTTTTTCTGAATGTTGGGATAAATAAGTTTGTTATTTTTAGGACTATTTTTTGGATAACATTTTTATTTCTTCATTATGGGTTATTAAGAAGTGCAATAGTTCAATTTATTTTTTAGATTTTTCAGAATCTTCAAATTCATTATGGCTATGAGAAGCTAAGCCTTGTTACAAAAGAGAACATACACAATCTATAGTTGCAGTTAATTGCATTGGATAATCTGCATGAATTTGATCAAATAGTCTGTTGTAAGAAAAACTAATGTGTGGATCTTGATTCATTAAATTATTGTACTTTCTTCAAGCAATTTTATGAACCCTATTAAAGTGACCAATATGAACTTAAAGTTTATCATTCTTTTTTCAATTTGGAAATCCTTTAGTGTCAAGACTATCATATTTTGCATGTTCTTTTGCGTCTAGTCTACAAAGGTGTTAAAATAAGTAACAAGTTGCATCTTTTATAATACTATGTTCCTAATACATTTGAATTTATCAAACCTTGCTGGCTTAAATTTATGCATTTTATTTCCATTATATGATTGTGGGAGATCATGATCATGAGGTTGGCTTGCTCTTCATACTCCATCATGATCATTAGGATGTTATTTTGAAACTTTTTTCCTTAATTTAAGATCTGAAGGACAGTTATCTAAGTTGGTTTCTAAACAGATTCATTTGGAATTTATATTACAGTCAACACTAATGATAGTACTTGATGCGTGGAATTCATTAACTTAAACTTTTCTTTAAATGTATCCCTTCATAATATTGAAGCGATTAGTTTGTTGGTGTGAAAAAAATATATTGAGGCTTACGACGACAGCTCTAACCATTCACTTGTTATTAAAAAAAATCAACTCATTCACCATCAAAGCTTAGGCATCAAACTTAAGTAGTTATGTTATTCTGCTAAAAAAATTTATCAAAGCTAGAGAGAAACATACAATAACAACAAATTGGAGAAGGCTCAAGAGAGATGATGAATGACAATATTAAAACACTAAATTTAACAATTAGGTTAGTAATTAAAACACAAACTTAATCTTTATAATAAGAATTAGCAACTTAAAAAAAAGTGATACAAGATCATGAAATTTTACATTCGATGTACATTCAAATCTACTAATTGTAATTTCTTTAATGTAATTCATTTTTTAAAGATAGGGTTTGTTGCAGGCTAGAATATACGTGGCGATAGAGTTATAATTCTACGTCTTAGCGTTGCACGGATATTCAGCTCACACACAAAGAACACAATATTTTTTACATGGAAAACCTGAAAAGGGAAAAAATCACGGGGCCTAGCCCAGTTGAAGATGATTCCACTAAAATTTGAGGAAAGTATAATGGTATGACTCGTCCTTGAAGACGACCAGATTACAAATATCAACTGAGAGTTTTACAAAAGTCCAACGTCACTCCACTGTCAGGTGGTGGTCCGGCGGCACTCTGGTGTCAGGCGGTGGATCGGTAGTGGCACTTTAGTGTCAGGGGATACTTCAGTTTCGGATGGCACTTCGGCGTCCCTTGGTAGTCCGTCGGTGGTGCGGCAGAACTACGGCGGTGTTGCGACAATACTCCGGCGGTGGTGCGGCAGCACTCCGGCGTCCCTTGGTGGTATGGCGGTGGTGCAGCAAGACTACGGCAGTGGTGCGGCAGCACTTCGGCGTCCCTTGGTGGTCCGGCGGTGGTGCGGCAAGACTACGGCGGTGGTGCGACAGCACTCCGGCGTCCCTTGGTGGTCCGGCGGTGGTGCGGCAGCACTCCGGCGGTGGTATAGGAGGAGCTAGGCGGCTGGAGCTTTCTTCCTTATGTTCCTTCTTCTCTCTTGGCCTCTTCCCCTCTCTCATTCATGAGGAAATGGGGCTCTATTTATAGAATTCTTGAGTGGCGTGGCTTGAAAATAAGTGGAAGATCAATGGTAAATTTGGAGTGGTTCGAATGGACGGTCGATCTTGATTCTTACGTTCATGCACCATTCAATGGATATTTGATTCTTAATGATATCAGAATTTGATGATCTTGGGCTCGTTGGATTCGTCTCGTCGAGCCGCTCGATTCGTCTCGTCGAGCCGCTCGATTCGACTATAAGCATGTCATGATTGGATATCGTTTGGTAACCCAAATTGTGGTTCGATCCTTCCACAAATGCTTCAAGTCTTTGATTTGGACTCATTTGAGCTCAAATTGAGTCGATTTTGGTGTCGTTGGATTTGTGTTTCTGAGACGCTCAGTTTGACTGTAAGTTTGCTGAAATCGAAATTCAGATGGTCTACGATCTAATTTTTAAAGTTTTCAACTTGATTTTACCTCGAGATTCGTGCTTGATCGAGACTATTTTTGGTGACGTATCAGGGTTATTCTTTTCTCCTCTTCTCTCTCCCAGTTAATTCCCATCTCTAATTACCCTATTTGGTTGTATTAGATGAATGTTTTAGCATCTACTCCACATTTATTTTAGATTCAATTTATTTTCAAATTTACCAAATATAAATATGAAAATAAAGTCTTTTCAGCTAAGAATTTTATTCCTTCTAATAGGGAGATTGTTGAGTGGAAGGAAATAATTGACTCGACAAAGGGCTAGCTGGCTATCAATGATGGAAAACAAATGGCGAGGGTTGGTGTGAATGGAGCCAGTTACATCCTTAACCTTGCAAGCTTCTGCAGTTTGTGTGCTTTTCATGAGAGGGACCAAGAATCAGGGATTTAGGGTTGGCCGTGGACAGTGGTGGACTATGTGTTACGGTTTCATTATTTATTTATTTTGCTTATTTTATGTTGGTTGGGATAAAAGTTTGAAGGAGAATGCTATTAAAATTAATAGAATTTGAGATAGAATTATATCTTTAAAAATTATTATCGATATTAAGATTATTAATATTATAAGAGTTCATGTTCCTCAAATAGATTTGAATATATGATCAAAATTAAAATTTTAGAATGACATAAAAAAATTAATACAAAAGATATCTTTCGAAAAAAGTTTTTTTATTAGAGGAGATTTAAATGAACATATTAATAGAGAGGTAGATGATTTTAAAAGCATTCATGATGGCAATGACTTTGGAGTGACTAATGAAGGTGATAAGATCATATTAGATTTTTTTAGCTTATGATTTTATAATTGCTAATATCTTATTTGAGAAAGAAGATGAACATCTCATCACTTATAATAATGGATATAGTAAAATTCTAATTAATTATTTCTTATAAGAAAAATAGATCGTTTAGATTGCAAAGATTGTAAAGTTATTATGAGTGAAAGTTTATGTATCCAACATTGCTTACTAGTTTTGGACTTTAAGATGAAGGGGCATAAAATAAAAAATAAAGTAAATCGTTGTTCTAGGATTGGATGAGGACATTTAAAAAATATTAACAAAAATATTTATGAGAGTAAGATTCTAGATTTTGAAATTTTATTTGTGCATGAGGAAACTAATGTTATATGAGAAAAAAGTTGCTAGTGATATTAAAAATATTGCAAAAGATGTGCTTAGAGGCTTAGAGCATCAAAGGTAAAAACTACTAATAGTGAAAATAGTTGGCGGTGAAATCAAAATATGTAATAAATAATAAAAAATGAGAACATTTGTTATTAAAATTAGTTTAGTTGTAAAAATTCTGATAATTGGAAAAGATATAAAGATGCTTGTAAAGAGTAAGAATGCAATTTGCAATGCAAAGATTTTAGCTTTTAATGATTTATATAATATATTAGATATTAAAGAGGGCGAAAGATATATCTATAAGTTAGCTAAACAAAGAGATATGAGTAATAATGATTTAGTTCAAGCGAAGTATATTATGGATGAATATGAAAAAGTGCTTTTATTAGAAGAGGATATTTAACAGAGGTAGATGAGATATTTTGTTAAACTTTTTAATGAAGATTATGAGCATTCAATTGACTATAGTGACTTTAGCATCCTAAATAAAATTTTTTTTTTTGTTTTTATCAGCATATTAGTAAAGCCAAAGTTAAAGAGACTTTAAAGAAAATGAAGTGTGAAAAAGCTGTTGGACTTAATGATATCCCAATAGAGGTGAGAAATGCTTAGGAGATGAAGGAATATCTTGGCTTACTAAACTTTTTAATATTATTTTGAAGAGTAAAAATATGTCAGATGAGTGGAGAATGAGTGTATGGATTTTTATTTTTAAGAAGAAAGGTGATGCACAAGATTGTGCGAATTATAGAGGAATCAAGTTAATGTGTCATACTTTAAAAATATGAGAGAGTTATGGAGCATAGGTTGTGGCGTGACATTAATATTTCTCAAATCAATTTGGATTCATGCCAGGTAGGTTTACGATGGAAGCTATACATTTATTGAGAGGTTTGATGGAGAAGTATAGAGAGAATAAGGAGGATATACATATGATTTTTTATTGATTTAGAGAAAGCATATGATAAAATTCCTAGAGAAGTGCTATGGAGAGTTCTACATAAGAAAGTTGTTCATAATGCTTATATTCAACTCATTAAGTATATATATACAGGAGCTGTTACTTGTGTTCAAACACAAGGTGGTTTGACCTAGTATTTTCCTATTTTAGTTGGATTACATCAAGGATCAGTCTTAAGCCCATATCTTTTTTTCTTTAATCATGGATCTTCTCACTAGACATTTGCAAGAGGTTATAACCTGGTGTATACTTTTTGCTGATGATATTCTTCTTGTTGATAAGACTAAAAAGAGAGTTGAAGGTAAACTTGAATTATGGATGTCAACTTTAGAGTCTAAAGGCTTTCATTTGAGTAGATCTAAAATTGAATATATGGAGTGTAATGTTAGTAATAATAGTTCTAGTGGGGGATTGTGACTTTGGGTGATCAAGTCATTAATAATAGTACACATTTTATATATCTTGGGTCTATTGTTCAGAGTGATGGTGAAATAGATAGGGATATTATTAGTAGAATTCAAGTTGGATGGTGGAAGTGGAGGAATGCATTGAGCTTATTGTGTGATAGAAAAGTTCCTCTCAAATTTAAGGAAAAATTATATGAGATGTTAGTGAGACCTGCAATACTTTATAGTGTAGAATGTTGGCCTTTAAAAGAGAAGCATAATATTAAGTTAAGTGTTGCAAAGATGAGGATACTCAGGTGGATGAGTGGTTTTACTCTTAAGAGACGGTATACGAAATGAGTATATATACGGGATTAGCTCGAGTGGTAGATAAGATTAGAGAGAGTCTCCTTAGATGGTTTAATCTCATAAAACAATAACCTTCCGATGACCCGGATAAGTAGATGTATTAGATTTGACTTATGTTAAGAAAAGTAGAGTTTGACCTAAAAAGACTTGGTAAGAAAATATTAGAAATGACATTTATTTATTAGATTTAGATGAGAATTTGACTCTTAACAAGACACAATGCAAAAAAAGTATTTAGGTAGCCGACCCCACATAATGGGATAAAGGCTTGATGTTGTGGTTATATTTTATGTTGGTTGGGCCCATTGCCCCCCCCCCAATGTAGCCATGCTCTTGATTTGTGCTGTTTCGATAAACATTTTATTGATATACTATCATTCTTCTAATCGTCAGTTCTGTATAAATTGTTCCAGGACAATCTTTTTATATTACTCAAAGTTCAACAATTTCCTTATTATTTAAGCTATCTTATTCTGGTGATTAGAATTTGGCGAGGGTAGTTTTACCTTGAAAGGCTGTCATTGCCATAGTTTTCACAAAATAGTGAAACACTTTATTTATTTATTGTCAACTTCTGGCATGGGTGAAGATTTCTGTTTTTTTTTTATTCGAAGAATGAACTTAGGAATGGCCTGCGTGCTTTCCTCATCTTGTGTGCTTTTCCTTAAATAGATCAAATGTTTATGTAATGCTCCAGGTTAAGGCTTCTAAAAATCAATTTGTCAATCTTCTTAAACTGCTTATTATTTATCTTTAACATTCTCCTTCACTAGGTATTTTTATCTATCCACTCATCTTGTATTTTTAGGATGTGTGTGGCATGTTTTTGATACCTTTGTTCTTTAAATTGGTTCCTCCCTGTTAAGCTGAGCTCTTTTCTTCATATACTTGTTAGTTTTTGTTAATTTCAGTGTGTTGTTGCAGACTTTTTGATCTTCCCTTTTGTAATATATGTTTCATGAATACCCTCAGAAATTTCTATATTGCTGGCGAATTAGGTGTGTGGCCTACTACTGCTAAGTTTTATGATCTGTCATCTTTACTTATGATCGTATGACTAATCTTTTTCTGCTGTTGCAGCTGCCAATGGTAAATCTTAGTTCTGGAAGCCCAATGATGATTTCTAGGAGATTGATGTAATATTGCTTGAATTTTCGCAGTGTCATTCCTGACTTCTCTTAAAGGTTGATTCACTATGAGCACCATTGCCGAAAAGGAATGGGATGAAGAATACTCTGAAATTGGAGACAAGGGTGATGTGGGTTTCTTAGATTTTGAGGATGATAAATCGCTAAGTAGTTTCAATCCACTTGAGACAGGTCCTGTTGTGATTTCAATCCCCTTCCCTCTCATTGCTGGAAAACCTCAATCCGCTTTTCTTGGTGAAGTATCATCGGATTCTATCTATATTAAAAACACCACTGATGAACCAGTTGAACTGTGGAGTATTCGAATCTTTTCATCTAACCCAGAGAATTCATATGCCCTTTCGTTGATGAAACCACCATCTGTTAATGCTGATGAGAGAGAAATTGATGCATATGTGGAGTCAGATGCCTTGGAAGATAGGGTGCTTCAACCAAGGCAGACTCTCACTATTTGGCTTTCATGCAAACCTAAAGAAATAGGTTTACACTTTTCAGTAGTGCATTTTGATGCGGGTTCTGACAAAATTGAGCGAGTTGTTTTTTTGTTGGCTGATGATAAAGTATCACAAGGTTTGGTCTGTAAGAAACCTTATTCAAGAGCTCCACATCGTAGAAAGTTGTTTGAGTGTGACAATTATGTTGCTGGTTCTCGACCACATCGGCCAGTTACACAAACAAGTAGATATAAGCTCCCTGAATATGCCATACCAAAAGAAATCCGTGAACTGGTTGAGGCTATGCAGATTCCTGATGTCATAATGGAAGGGCTAAATACTTTGAACTATGCCAGGTTTTTTAGCTCTTTGATTAACATTGAAGAAATTCATTTGGGGGTAACTAGATCTGATCTCTAATAGATTTAAATGGATGTGAAGTCTCTTTTTTTTTCATGCTTGTTTTTTGCTTTGCTGATTCAGGTAGAGATGAGAGCTCATGACATGGAGTCGGTGAGTATGAGGAGGAGGGGTGGCCTATTTTTGTCCCTTGTGGTCCCCGGATTGGCTGAGAGAAGGCCTTCTCTTGTCCAGGGAGATTATATTTTTGTTCAACTTGCCACTGGCAAGCCAGACAGTTGTTCTCGTCCTTACCAGGTTTGTGGTAAAATTTTCTAAATAGTTAAATGAAACATATAGTTTATGGAGCACATTTGATCATTATAATTTGTATTTATTGGGCTTTCACTATTCAGGGTTATATTCACAAAGTTGAAGCAGATGAAATTCTTTTAAAATTTGATAAGAACCTGCACCAATGTCATCGGGATGATCACTTCTATAATGTTAGTTTCACTTACAACAGGGTGAATATGCGAAGATTATATCATACCGTTCAAGCTGCTGAGTGTTTGGAACCTGAAATTCTCTTTCCCTTTCAGTCAACAAACAGAAGGGTTATCTATACAGTTCCTTTTCAGCCCTTGATTCAATCTCTCAATAGAGAACAAATACATTCTGTGGAAATGATTCTTGGTTGCAAAGGATTTCCGCCTTATGTGATCCATGGACCTCCAGGTACTGGTAAGACAATTACACTAGTTGAGGCCATACTGCAGCTTTATACCACAAGGAGAAAAGCAAAAATCCTGGTATGTGCTTCTTCAAATAGTGCAGCAGACCATGTTTTGGAAAAACTGCTTGCTGAGGATGCGTTTGGGGTGAGACAAAACGAAATTTTTAGACTAAATGCTACCAGCCGCCCACTTGAAGATATCAAATCTGATTTTATTAGGTTTTGCTTCTTTGAGGATACAACTTTTAAATGTCCTCCGCTCAAAGCTTTGTTGCATTACAGGGTCATAATATCTACTTATATGAGTGCATTTCTACTACATGCTGAAGGCATTCGCAAAGGCTACTTCTCTCACATTTTCCTTGATGAGGCTGGCCAAGCCTCTGAACCCGAGACAATGGTTCCCATATCAACCTTATGTGTGAAGGATACCGTGGTTGTTCTTGCAGGAGATCCTATGCAACTAGGCCCTGTTGTCTATTCAAGCTTGGCAGAGAACCACGGCTTAGGAAAATCGTACTTGGAAAGGTTGTTTGAGTTTGAATATTATGAGGGAGGTGATGAGAATTATGTTACAAAGTTGTTGAGGAACTACCGCAGTCACCCGGCTATCCTGGAGCTACCCTCTAAAACTTTCTACAAAGGTGAATTGATTGCTTGCAAAGAAGATGATGAATCTTCTATTTGTGACTGTGCTAGCCTTCCAAACAAGTCATTTCCAGTTCTATTTGTTGGAATTCAAGGATGTGATGAGAGAGAAGGTAGTAATCCGTCATGGTTTAATAGGATTGAGGCTAGTAAAGCTGTGGATATCATCAGAAAACTATTGATGAATCCTGACCTGATTGAGGGCGATATTGGAGTTATAACGCCATATAGGCAACAAGTGCTAAAGATCCAGAAGGCCTTATCATCCCTTGAAATACCAGATATTAAGGTCGGAAGTGTGGAGCAATTTCAGGGACAAGAAAGAAAAATAATAATCATATCAACTGTTCGGTCAACTATTAGACATAATGAGTTTGACAGAGTTTACAGTTTGGGTTTTCTTAGCAATCCCCGGAGATTTAATGTTGCCATTACTCGGGCTAGATCCTTGCTTATTATAATTGGAAATCCACACATATTAACTCAGGTATTTTCCTCTTGTTAGCAAGTATCAGAATCATCTATGCTCTTTTCAATTATCTATGCTCTTTTCAATTATGTGCATATGCCTTATGATTTTTTGGTTGTCATTGGTATGCTATAAAGATTTACTTGTTTTCATGATTTCGCATTATTTTGAATCGCGCAGAAGCTTCTTTGTGATGATAATGGCCGTTTTCAATGCATGTTAAACAGTGATGCTTTTTAGAGATGCTGTTACGTGAAAATCATACTTGCTAGTAAAAAAACATACAGTAATCTTTTGTTTGGTATGTAAAGTTGTGAGATGACAATGCTTGATTGAAAAACTGTGAGGAAGCTTGGATGAAATTAATTGTTTAGGCCATCTGAATGTGTGTTGATGTCAGTAAACTTTGACATTCGCTGAAGACAACCTAAGATGTTGTGGAATGATTCTATGATCGATTAAGAAGAGCTGAGTCTTCAAAGTTGACTGCAGAAGTTTTTGGGCTCTTCCTAAGGGAATTGAAAGGGAGTTGTTTTATTGATAGGAAAGAAGAGGATTATTGAACTGATAAGAAGATAGTTTTCTCAGGGAATTCTCTCCTTTCAAATCTCATACTCTCCTCTTCTCTCTTACAAAGTTCCTATATGGATGTAAAAATGTGAATATTTTCCATCATGTCTTTTGGCCTTATGAGCTTTCCATGGGTCTTTGTTGATCTCTTTCTTCTAACTTACGGAGCTGCACGCAAAGCCAACTCCTTGTCAGCTGTTTGAAGCATGGACTCTGAGTTTCTGCTTTCTGATAAGCTATACCGCCATGTCAACTCTCATTAAATTATCTTAGGTGAGGTATTGTCTACCGGGAGCTGATTATTTGTCCCATCAAACCTGGATTTGGGAACACACGCTTTGGCCCATTCGTTCTTAATCAGTGCCCCATTCCCTTTTTTGTCACAAGATTAGGAAGTCACTCAACACTCAACTATTAGGTGTGCATAGGGATAGATTTCAAATAAATAATCTAAAAATTACTTTTGGACTATTGATCCAACAACTTATACAGATAGGTAGTGGTGGAGGGTGTGATGTGGACCCATGTAGGTTGATCTGAGATGGTGCAAATCCTAAATGATGTGAATATGCAGGATGAAGGCTGCTGTTATACCGAATCAATCGCATGCAGATGGTAATTAAAAAAAAAAAATAGATTTTAAGAACTTTCAACTTTCAAAAAGTTGAAGCTTCAAAGCTTAAATGCTGATTTTTAACCAGAACACCAAGAAAGAAATAAAAGAAAAGCATGAAAAAAGGCAATTTTCTAGTTTTTATAGCCCGGAATACTAATTTTATATAGCCTTAGAATACAAAAATGAAAAATGCATGGATCCATGTCAAGGATCTTGCTATTGGGCAAAACTTTCTTTCTTTTACAGTTGTGTCCCATCTTATACTATTATACGTACCTACAATAGCTGTACGGGATGTTATTTTTTTGACCAATTTTCCAGCACTTTTTTTAATGCATGCATGTCTATGTTGTTTGGGCTTAGATAATGTGAAAAAAATAGCGGTGCTATTTGGATGCAAACATATTCTTATTAATTGAAGTAAATCCTATAAATTTTTATTTAGTAAAATTTGAGTTTGCTAAACGCCTAAACCTTAAAAGTTATTTGAATGCCAATATTTTAATTCAGGTTAAATCCTACAGATGAATAAATGATCGGTTGCTATTTAGAGTGTTAGTTGATATGGGGGAATTGGTTTAGATTTATGGTTATTTGATTTACTAATCAAGTTAATAGCATTTCATCAATATATTATGTAGTGCTTATTAGACTATCATGGGCTTACTCGGGCTTTATTTTATGCTAATTATTCTTATAAAATTTCATGAAAATGTTTGGAAAAAAGTAGTAATTTAGGGGTTGTTTGGTTTGTTGTAAAAGAAATGCAGAGTAAAATGAAATATAGTGTAAAAGGAATGAAGTGTATTTGAAATGTTTTGAATTGTTTGCATGAATATAAAATTAATATAGATAATTACTTTTTAAGTTTTGCTTGAAATGAAATGAATGCAATGTAAAGATCAAATGATGGTAGTAGGCAGCAGCAGCATGTGGTGTTGATGGTAGAGATGGTGGCTGGAGATAGTATGTGGCGGCTTGCAGCAACAATGATAGAGAATTTATAATATATTTGGAAATTGATCAAATCTAATGATTTTCAAATACACCAAAATTGAAGTAGTGGTGAATTTCAAATTCACCATTGAATTACATTGTATTTGAATTCACACAACCAAACACTTGAATTCTTGGAATGCATTACTTTACAAATGCAGCTAACCAAATGACAATTACAATTTTGTTAAATTATGTTTTAATTAGGATATAATTACATTTATTATTACTTCTTTAGATAATTAGGAATTACTCAATCTTTAATTAAAAATTATATTTCTATTAATTAATTAAATATATTAACTAACCTATTCAGTTAAAAGCAATCAATAGGTAGGATGTTAATTTATGCTCATTAGGATTAAGTTAAAATTATTAGGGTAATAAATGCTTAATTAAATTTAAATTTATCCAAGAAATATATACATTAATTTAAATATTGCTTAATCTAAATCAATAATACAAAATTACCATCTAAGGTGATATATATATATATATATATATATATATATATATGCAATTTCTTGCACTACACATTTATTCAATAAATATGCAATTCTTCCATGTTGTACTTATTTCTAATATGCTTTTAGAGTACCTCCATAATTTCTTTGATCATTGTCCACACGCTACTACCGGTTCATGCATTATTATCACCCACGCCTTTATGTCATCCTGCATTATAGCTCCTTCATGTTGTCCTGTTTGTTGTCGCTAGGCTCCACCAAAATTGACTTCACCTTGATCAAATTTTCCTAGAATCTAGACTGATCAATCTTCTTGCCAACAACCAACATTTGCTGATCTTAAAGTTGCCAATATCCCTAGCTTGCTTTTCTTTATTTCATCTCTGATCGAATCCAATGACCACCAATCTTGTTCTTGCTCCTTCTCTGCATGCTCCTCTATCTCATTGCTTTCTTGTGCGTGATTTCCATACTATCTTCGACTTACTCTCTTTCATTTTAACTGTCTCCCTATTTGATCCAGTTCCATGTTGGCATGCTCGCCTGTTTGTTAAATAGATCTTTAATCAACAGGAGCAGATACAAGTAGCATAAGGCAAATTTCTGGAGGTTTTACTGGTGATCGAGACAAAGCATTGATCTTAATAATGAGCATAATCAATTCAAACCATGTCATAATAGATGAAATAGTTCTAACACAAACTTAGTGACATGAAATTCAGAGAAGAATACGAGAATCATGACAAGCTTGTGCAATGAAGAATAATCCTTGAAAGGATATAGTCTTGAGAGATTGTGCCTATGGTCGAAGCTGACGCACAAACTTAATATAAAAAACTGCAAACAATACTAGCAACTGTGGATCAGTCTATGAAGATTATTAGCATGATGATCTTGGCTCCAAAGGCGATTATCGTAAGATAGATGATTTTGCTATTAGAGATCTTTTTGAAATTGATTCGGTGAAAATGTGCCTCTGCTTGAGCCAGAACCACTTACAGAGTTTACTACTACAAAATTTGATGGGCTTAAGTGAATGGGTCTAATGTTATTATATATTTATTATAAAAAACAACTTTAACATTGTATTGAGCAAGTGGTGCTAATGCGAGATTGGTTAATGTGGGTTTATAACTGAAGTGGGCTTCAGGTGCTTAGCTTGTCCTTGACGTCTCATTGGGTGAAAGAGTGTGTTTTGGATGATCATTCTGCTATGTTTTCTTGTTCACCTTTGCAATTCACCGCATTAAGTCTAAGTTTAACGGGGCCACCTTGACTGGAGATCAGGTCTAATGAGTGATGAAGCTTGCCTTTTTTATTTTTACTTACTAGGCTTAGAGAGACCAAGGAGAAGCACATTGATGCTAGCCTTCGAAGACATGCTAAAGTGGTGCAAACATAGTTATAGACTTATAGGAAGATCACATCAAGTATTATTTTTCTCAAACAATACAATTGGCTTAAATAATAACCCATCATGGAAATACTCAACTTGATTATTATTTTATAGTAGCATAATGATATGATTAATCATAACTATTCATGTAAGGCAATCCATAGGGTCGCATTGCTCCAATTAATAAGAAAGTGTCTTATGGACTAAATTTCCTTCCATTCATTCAAAATCAATCCTATATAGCCCTTGTTAGCTCCTGCCACAAAATTCTAGTGCACGCTAACATGCTTCGAAAGGCATGTCAAGCCACCCCATATATAGAAAATAAAGCACAGAGTGCATGTCATGATGATATCTCGCTCATCAATGAATATTAATGCAAAAAAAAAAAAAAAAAAAAAAAGGCTACTATTGCCTTAATTGCATCAATTAAAAATGCTAGTGCTTCTCCAATTATTGATCACCTCAAATGCATTTGCGCTAAGGCACCTATGAGTTTCCATTTGGTCTGATAAAACATATAAGGGCACCAAAATGCATCAAAGATTATCAGAATAATTTGGCTAATCTACAATCCTATGTTCATATTCATACTTCCATGCCACTTAGTTATCTTATATGCTATATATGTCTCGTACATTAATTTTACGGCTAACTTGCCAGATCTGAGCCTAAGCCGCAACAACCTCACTTAGAATCTCATAACCGTCTGCTCACCTTTGATGGTTCCTCGGATCCTTACTACTTTAGGGAATGGGTTAGACAATTAGAAGACTATTTTGAATCACATGATATTCCTAAGTCCCACAAGGTTAGCATTGTTAAGTCTCACATGAACGGTAGTGCTCGTCAATTTTGGATGAGGTTGGAAGATCATAAAGAGTATCGTGGTGAATACCCTACTTCCGATTGGAAAGACATGAGACGATAACTTGGATTAAAATTTCTTTCCCCTACTTGTGGCCAATCATCT